GGAGCCTAACACACCATTGCTTGGGAAAAGTACTGCCAGGCGCGGTGGCTCACGCCTGTAATCCCAGCACTCTGGGAGGCTGAGGCAGGCAGATCATGAGGTCAGGAGATCAAGACCATCCTGACTAACAGGATGAAACCCTGTCTCTACCAAAAATACAAAAAATTATCTGGGTGTGGTGGCATGTGCCTGTAATCCCAGCTACTTGGGAGGCTGAGGCAGGAGAACTGCTTGAACCCAGGAGGTAGAGATTGCGGTGAGCCAAGATCGCACCACTGCACTCCAGCCTGGATGACAGAGCAAGACTCTGTCTCAAAAAAAAAAAAAAAAAAAAGGTACTGATATTTTATATACCAATGAGAAATACAGATGCCATTTATAATTGTAAGAGTTCAGAGTTCAGTGTAAGATGCATTACTATCTTATAGATGTTAAAATGGGAAAAAGTGGGCCTTAGATTAAACACAGATTGTTAAAGAAATTCAGAAAAGCAGATTAACATAGTGTCAAGAGCTCCAAACCTAGAGTTGGACAGAAAGTTATGGATTCAAATCCCAATACTTAATAGCTTTTTTTCCTCTCTCTCTTTTTGAGATGGAGTCTTGCTCTGTCGCTCAGGCTGGAGTGCAACGGCACAGTCTAGGCTCACTGCAACCTCCACCTCCCGGGGTTCGAGTGATTCTCCCGCCTCAGCCTCCCGAGTAGCTAGGACTATAGGCACGTGCCACCACACCCAACTTATTTTTGTATTTTTAGTAGAGATGGGGTTTCACCATGTTGGCCAGGCTGGTTTCAAACCCTGACCTCAGATGATCTGTCTGTCTTATCCTCCCAAAGTGCTGGGATTACAGGCCTGAGCCACCACGCCCGGCCAATAGCTTTTCTCTTAATAGCTTATACAAACCTTAGTTTCCTCATCTGTGAAATGGGGGCATAATAGTAGAAACAGCCTCATAGAGTTTTGTGATTATTAAATGAAGATAATTACTATAATGTATTCAGCATAGTAATTATTTCACATATTTTAATCCCCATATTTGGTTAAATCACAGAGCTTTTCAAGATAAACATTAATTTCAAACAATAATACAGGAAAACTTTTTAAGTTTGTTATTATGTCATACTAATCAATCAGCTAGTGTTTATTAATTCCTCACCAGGCATGAGGACTAGGTCTTTGAGTTAAGTGTTCTTGGAGACAACAAAGAAACAAATATGGAGGTTGGAGGCCTGAGGCAAACCACCCTGGGGTCTTCCCATCCTCTCTCTAATGTGTTTTCTAGGTGAATCAGGGTAGAATGATCATCAAGACTAGCCTTGAAGAGCAAAAGAAGTCACAAAATTGTACCTGAGGAATGTATGAAAGATCAGTCCTGTACCCATCTTGATGACTAGCAGGGGTAATAGAGGGTAACTTGAGGATTAATTGCATGTCTGGAGCCCTGGGTGATACGTGTGGGTATATATATAGAGAGAGAAAGCACGCCGGAGAGTGCTAGTGGTTGGGGAGCAAAAGGATACATCACTGGAGCAGGAGTGGGGCTCTTCTGTAATGCATATAATGTATTGTTCCTACCTGTGTAGTTATACTCTTGTGGATTATGAAGTTATTCAGGGAACATTATTTAACTCATGGTATATCTAAATTCGTAAAGCATCATCTGTTGTTATAATTGTCTTCATCTACAGTACATGTGAAGAAACCTAGGGTCATTAAAAGGTGTAACAATCATCATTACTTCTGAAGTTCATTCTAGACTAAAAGTTTTCCTCATATATACTTTATGAGCCTTCTTTCTGTCACCAAAGATGTGCATTGTGGATTTCAATACAATGTTCTCACCTCAGTTTTCTGAAGGACATATGCTTGTGAAGGAACAGGTGACTGTTTAAGATCATTATTTTTATTAAATGCCTGAACCATCACAGAGTAAGTAATTTTCTTTAAAGGAAGTATAGCTGCCTCTAAATATAACTCTGGGCTACAGTTCACCTTTTCTGTTTATTTTATTCTTAACTTGTGAAACTGTATCTTAGGACTTGGGGTATATAACTTGTTATTTGATACCAGCTGCTCAACAGTGAATCAATTGTAATGCTCCTGGCACCAAAGGAAACAGAGGGGGCTTAAATATGTTTACAGAAGACAAAAGGCTTATTTTTGCGTAGTTTACAACATGTTTCCACAGTTTAAATATTAAAAAGCATCCCCCCAAAGTTTTTTCACTATTTCCCTCATTAAAGACTAACAGGATCAAACAGAGAAAACAACTCTACAACCCACATATTATTTATCAGATGTTTTGGATGAAATTCAGATTTAAAAAACCAAAAGGCTCTCTCTTCCTCTTCCCCTCCCAGCAAGAGCATTAGGAAGATACTCCCCACTGCAAAATAGACCCACTCACATACTGGCGAATGTTGCACTATCATTCCAGGAGCAGGGGGAAAGTTGCTGCGACAGCCTTAGGCTCCTCTCGGCGTTATTGGGTCGTCGTAGGTGCGCTGTGGGCTGCTGCGGGGTTTGAGACCCGGCCAGAGGACTCGCGGCTCACGACCTGAGTGTGTACCTGGACAAGTTCTCAGAGGCTACTGGGAACATTGCAAATACAGGACGCCTGTACTGCAAAGCTCTCCCTAAAACCTCATCAGTCCTCCTCTCTTGACTCTTCGTCGTCCCAGGAATTTTAACTTTTCCTCGGCGCAAGTGTTTCTCGTGCGGACCCCTTGCAGGCGCAAAGCTTGGCTCGCTCTGGCCTCCTGGCTTGCCCAGGATCCAGGCAGCCACGCGGAGCATGGTGCAGCTTCCCCTCGCTTCCCCCCGCGACGGTGAAGAGAAGAAATCAGGAGGGAGGAGGTACTCAGCCCTCCTGGGTGCACTCCCAGATGTTTTTAAGTTGGCCTTTATGAAAAACAAAATGATGCCAAAATGCAAAATAGGCCACGTGGAGGTACTCAGCTCTCCTGCGTATACGCCCAAATATCTCTAATTTGACGCTTACGAAACAGTGCTAAAATGCAAATTAGGCTTTGTAATACCCAGAATGAGCCTTGTTTGACAGGCCAAACTGAGATTTAATGGAAAGCTTACTCATATCCCCACACGAAATTCATTCTTTTAGGAACTTAAAAAAAAAATTGTGTAATTTTAAATTCCACCACTGTCATAACGAACACTCCACAGTAACACGCAGTGGAACAATGGACACCCCCCATATCGCATTGTGTCAGGTAATTATGAAGTGTCGCGGCGCGGGAAAGAGAAGCTGGGAACGTCAATTTGTCCTCTGCAGCGTGTGGGAACGCTCAGAGCCGCGCGTCTCCCAGAAACATCATCCAACCGTCACCCCCAATGCCTCAACCCAGGGACAGGGACAGACTCAATCAGACCTCGGCCCCAGGCGTGGCAGGAGAGGGCCAAAGAGAGGACGTGTGAGCGCAGAGGAGCGAGCACCGCTCCATGGAGGGCAGGCGCTAGCTGGGAAGTCGGGAGGAGAAAGTGCAACCGGGCGGGGAGGGGAGGATCCCACCGGGGCGTGGCGAGGGCGCCCGGACTCCGGGTGAGCGGGACCCTACGCGGGACCTGTTCTCCCAGAAGCTCCCACTCAGCCCAACCTTTTAGGCGAAACCCAGGGCAGCCAGATAAGGGTGCAGGCGGGGTCACGCGTAAAGCTGTTGCTTTGAAGCAGAGCATAAGTGAAAAAGAGATAAAGAGAGAAGGAACAAGGGGAAAAAGAAATCAAGGGGCTGAAGGCCGAGATGTCCTACTTCTAAGTGGTTCTTTGCGAGGCAAAAGCTTCATTGCCAGCGCAGTCCGAGGCAGCGCCGCGTGGAGGACCGGCCGGGTCGGGCACGGGGACCTCTCCAAGGGGTCTCCAGCCTCCGCGCACTCTGCGGTGGCCCCCGGAGGGAGAAACTCTATCCCGGCAGCTCAGTGGGGGGAAGCGCGTCGGGGCTGTGGGTTCCTTCCCCCGAGACCCCAGCGCTGCACCCTCGAGGCGGCAGGCTCAGTCAACCCTCCCCGGGGGATGGCGGCCCTCTAGCCAGGCGACCTCAGGTCTCGCGCCCTCCCACCGCTCAACCTCCTCGCTTCACCCCCATTCATTCTTCCTCAGCGGCTCCTAGGACGGGCTCAAAAACCAACTCCACACGCAACCCAGCCCACGTCGCGGAGCTGAGGAGCAGGGCTGGGTTCGGAGCGGGCGCCGGCGCCCCCGGC